CGCCTCGACCTCGGCCACCAGATCCGTCTGCACCTCGGTGGCGAGAGCTGCATCACCACCACCCGAGGGCTGACTGCTACTGGACTCCACGTCGGAGATGCTTTCGTCCTGAACCGAGGGGGTCCTCGAGATGTCCTGGGAATCGCTCGCGGATGACATTTTTGACAAAGTACGCACCTGAGGTTTCGAAGGCTTTCTACAGGACTCTAACCCTAATCTAAGGACAGAGGGCGGAACTTACTAAAAGTTTTGGCAGGAAAGCAGGACACTGACCTTAAAAGCTGAGTTTTGACCGGGGGCTTGAGCTTTCTCTCTCTAGAAAATTTGGCAGAGCTTCGCTAACGATATCGGACGCACAAGGAGAATGGTCTGGCCATGGGGTATTTATAGACTCCAGGATCCGGGCTTGGGCCCAAAAACTGGGCCTCCGGCCAAGCGTCACCATTACACACCGTCGTTTCACCCAACCGGTGACGCCCGCCCACGAGCAGCCAACGGCTACACTCCACGTGTACCCCCCCAACGGCTATAAATCTGACGCTACATATTCCAACGGCTATATTTCCAACGGCTATATTCTGGAAGCCCCCGGGTTTTCTTACTTCACTCCACTTCATCAAGGAGAGCCTCCGGGTACACTTACCCAGAGACGCCCCCGGTTTGTGCCGTACACAGTACATAACAGACGCCTTCGGGATCACTCCTTCAGAAACCCAAGGCTTCATATCAGGGCACCCCTCGGGGATTCCCCCTCAGCACTGTAAGAACCGGGTAGCCCCCGGGGAGTTGCCTCATTGACGGATAGCCTACGGCACACAGGTAATGAGAGCCCCCTGGGTATCCCCATCGCCAACTAACCAGCAAGCAGGGGACCCCCCCCCCCCCCCCCCCGCGGCAATTCAATCACTGCCCTCATCCATCATGCCCTCGATCCCCAGATTGAGGGGCTCCCCTTCGGCACCCCCAGGACATCAACAGCAAGCCTTCGTCTAATCAACACATGAGCCCTCAGAAAATAGAGCCTTCGGCATTACCGTTATTCTCCATTTTTGACCAAGGTTTCACATTTTTTATTCATCGTTGGGGGAATTTGGTGCACTCTTTTTCCCTCATTAGGATTTTTTCCCACAGGGTTTTTCCTAATGAGGTTTTTAACGAGGCATCCCCCCAAAATGAAACGAAAAGCGTCAGCCTTCGGCCCACAACAGCAACGCAACTACTCTACTCCTTTTCACCACTTTACAAGTGCCTCAAGGAGTGGGGGACTGGAGGACCCCCTCGGGAAAATCATTAAATTACAAAATTAGTGAAATTCCAACAAACGACAAAGCAAGCCCTTAAGTCCCGACATGTGGGTAACTGAGGGACTGCCTTCGGCAGGGACATAAAAGCAACAACTCCTCACCAACTTCAGAGATCACGACAGGACAACATCAAAGGGCAAGCACAAAATTACTCCTTTTCCCTCAAATACCTTTCGGCAAAAGGAGTGAGGGACTCTTGATGGAGTATATGGTCCGGGAACACCCGGCCCACAGACTTCTACTACACCAACGAAGGCCCAACCGGCCCAGGAAGCTCAAGCAGGCCCAAATCACGAGGCCCAGAGTACCAAGCAGCCCGCAATACGCACCAGGGGTGCCTTCGGCCCCCTGGCCGAAGGCTCCAAACTATCACAGCGTGGATATTTCGAACAAACAGAGGAACTGGGAGAAAAACGGCAGACAACAGTAGCCCTCGGCACCTGGAGCCCTCGGCACTCAGGGGTCCTCGGCACTAAGCGCCCTCGGCTAGTCCTCTGCAGCCGAGGGCACCTCTCCCGACATGATATCCGCCTCACATGCGTACAGGTCACTGTACCCTGTACAGACGTCCCATCCAACAGCCGCATTAAATGCGGCCACATGCGGCTGCCAACGCCAACCAGTTGAGGTGACCTCTCGGCCAATGGGCGCTTGACACGTGTCCCTGTCCGGCATTTATTGCTACTATAAATAGCACCCCATTTCCCCATTTGTAACCACGACATTCATACTGAATATACTCTCTCTCTTACTTACTTGTGCTCTGACTTCTCTCTAAGTTATTCCCTGCAATAACCTTCGGATATATACCCCCCGGGTAGACTATCCATCAGGGTGTTTGGATCCGATTCTTAAAACTGCTTCTGCTCCCTGGGGAGCAGAAGCAGAAGTTGGAGTGTTTGGGTGAAAATGCAGAAGTGATTATGATGCTCTAATTTGCTCCTAGAATCAGTTTTTTAGAAGCTGGGGGGGTACCAGCTTCTGAAAACTGATTCTGATTCTGCTTCTGCTTTAAAAAAGAAGCAGAAGCAGAATCAGTTCCAAACACCCCCTTAGTCCATGTACTCAATCCGTGCCTGAACCGCTACTTAATGTGCACCCTATGCAAACTCGGGCCAATTCCGAATTTTTTTAAACCGAAGCAAATTTTTAATCTCAGTACAGTTGTTCTTTCAGCATATCCTACATGTCTTTATGAGGGTAATAAACATTTAAAATGGCGTGAGGCGATGACCGGTGATTTTAGTGCACTTATTGCTAATCACCCTTGTGACTTGTACCCTTTGACACCACTAAAAATATTGTTGGGTCTAAATGGATTTATAACTAAGTATCATTCAGATGAGTCTCTTGAGCGTCACAAAGCTTGATCAGTTGTCCATGAATTTAATCAACAGACTGGTGTGAATTTTTCCTAGATTTTTAGTCTTGTGGTCAAACCCATCGTTGTTCGAATTATTCTCACACTTGTTATTTCTTTTGGCTGGGTTGTTCGTCAGCTTGATGTCAAAAAAGCTTTTCTCCATGGTCATCTCACAGAAGAAGTTTAGATGCATCAATCGTCGGACTTTATTCATCCTCAATTCCCTACTCATTTGTGTCATTTGCTCACGACCATTTATGGTCTTAAGCATGTTTCTTGGACTTGGTTTCGTAGCTTCCTTCTCACTCATAGTTTAACCTAAAGTAAGTCTGATAATTCTGTGTTCATTTTTCGTCAGGATAATACTATCATTTATTTATTACTTTATATAGATGATATTATTATCACTGGTAAGCCTCTTCAGTTGTTTGACACATTATTACACTTATTGCTCATCACTTTGTAATGAAAGACCTGGGGATCTCCAATATTTTCTGGGTGTTCAATCGATTTGCATGTCTTAGAGTATGTTTCTTTCACAACAAAAATATGTCACTGACTTCCTTGCTCTCTTTCACTTAGACACTTTCAAATTTGTTCGTACTCCCATAGCCACATGCACTACACTCTCTCTCATTGATGGTGAGCTGCTCCCTTAACTCCTTAATTATGATAATTTGCCTTAAATGTTACATTTTTAAGAATGAGTAAAGTCATAGAGAAAAGTAAAGGGACATATTCTAGTAATGGTAAAATAAATATGGTACTTTTAACAAGAATGTTCCGGTAATTTCAGTGAGACGGCAAGTTAGTAGGTGTGCTATAAAGTTTCATCATGATCTTTGGAACAAGTATCCGTAGACACACACACACACAATTCAAGAAAGATGAAATATTAATTAATGTATGAAATCTCAATAGTATCTTAAAATTGTGGATTTCTACAACTTAGGGGTGGACTCGTAACTTATTCCAATTTGTATGTAACAGGAGCATTCAGATAACTCCAAGTGACAGAGAAACAAAACTTAAATAACGCAAAATCAAATATCTAGAAAAACCCAATAAGTATAAAATCCTGCTTCTGATGCAACAATATATTTTAAACGACTTACATTCCCTATTTTGATTCCAAAATGTATGATTGGACAAAAGTAATTCGGATAGAAAATTGTTTTTTGTATTTAAAAAAACAAGAAATTATTAAGCCGGACCTCCACTTAGTTTCACCTAAGCTTCACCTAATGTTTTTTCTCCTAGAGAAATTATTGAATTGCTACAGGCAGAATGGATGGGGCATGCTATATGGGATTCTACTATTTGATGAAATAACTAAATGTGTCGTACATCCTCTATCTATTTGTCTGTCTGTCTATCTATCTATATGAAGAAGAAGGAGAAGGAATCAATAAATTAATAACGTGTACGCTTTTTTTGAAGAGAGGCTTTTGTTATTCTCAATAATATGGTCCCATTAACACGACATATAGACACTTTATTTTTACATTATTGTTTAGACTGACTGGAAGCATTCATGTAATGCCAACCTAATATTATTGATCTCTGATGTGTTCTCTTTAGTTGTATTTGTGATGGATGTGATCTAATTCAGTGTTGTTTATTATGATCTGGTGCAATTTAGTATGATTTGATATGTTTAATAAAAGCTGTGTAGAAATTGAAACTGAAATTGTGTAAATGACACTTGATAAGAAAATTTTGAAACAATAGTAGACAATATTATTTTTCCTTAAAAGGAAATGCTTTTTTTTGGAAAAGAGTATTCTTTCATAGTAATAATATAATGACTGTAATAATAATAGTAAAATAATAATTAAGCTACTATTTAATATCATGTGCATAATACTCGTAACAAAAAATACATAGTATACAAAATTCAAAGTTTAAAGCAAATTGAAAAAAATCATTTGAAGATGACATATCCTTATTGTTATCTACAATTACGAGAAAATTTATCTATCAGATTTGAAAGTGAGGGTAGAATTTTGAAATAATTACATATATATGACTAAAATAAAGATTGTTTACAAAAAACTGACTAGTGACTAGAGTTGTAATGGAATCATAGTAACTTATGTTCAATTTTTAAACTTAAGTTATCATGACACTACATTGTAATAACTATTAGTCATTATTGCGTGAATAATTTTTTTAGTAATATTTAAAAAAAAACTAGAATTCTTACCTAGTGACATAGACAAAAATAATAAAGGAGGGGATTCTTTAAACATAGGCCGGGATCATATCAAAAAATAAAAAATCAATGAGAAAGGAAGATAATAAATTTAAAGTATAGAGAGATAGTAATTGCTCACAAACAATAGTCGCATGCATGAAATAACATAGTTTCCATCTTCTTGAGCTACTACATGCATCATACAAATGAGTAAAACAACAAAAGCCTGGCCTGGTGTATATTATATTATATTATATATGGGCAGAATTTTTAGCATGCAGAATGATGTGCAAGATCTTTTCCAACTCTGACCTCTTTAGGCGGTACCATCCTTTCACCTTGTGTAACTTTGCAATGGCCCTTAGATCCTTCCTGGTCATTCCCTTGAACTCTCGGTTGCTTTCCGATGGAGTGGGAATGCCATTGGACTGTGTTACTACCATCAAGATCTCACCCTCCTTCATGCTTGGAGCAGAAACAAGACTTTTATTTGCATCGCTCAATGCTAGATGAGTTTCTTTCTTGGCAGACTTTTCTCCACACCCATAAATGTATTCAAGCTTAACAAACAACGGCCATTCATTTTCCAACAATACCCCATATCTTGACTTTATAGACGACAAAATTGAATTGTTGTAGGCCTCAGATTGATCATCCTCTTGTGGTTCAATTTTTATATGAGTTTTGCTCACCTTGTGGTTTGATCGAATAAGCAATGAATCCTCCCCTAAACTCCCATTAGTTTTGCCATGCATCCCACCTTGTGTCTTTACTACACTCACTACTCTAGCTTCCATATTTCCATGCACAACCTGATAAATAAGCTAGAATAATAAATACATAAAAATACGTTACACTAAATTGTGTGCATGCAACTAAGACAAAACAACATTAATATAATGAAATTTATAACATTAATATCATTTCAAAACTAATAAAAAATATTCACTTTTTCTTTTACCCACTCATATGTGGTTGCTCTAGGTGTTGGAGATAATAAGGAGTCAAAAGTCCTTTTAGGTGTAGTAGACGTGCCATTATCTGTGATATAACTTGAACTGTTCAAATCTATCTCCATATGTTATGGAGAAAAATAGAAAATATATGGGGGCACGTTGGCGTGATGAATGGTAGAGATTCTCGATCTAAATATTTTAGATGAATGAATCTTAGTCATTCATCACGCTAACGTGATCCTTAGTGAACATGATAGCATGCTCCATATATTTTCTCATATGTTATGATACTTTCCATTTTTTGAACATTAGAATTAGAAGGTTCAAGAACAATGCATGAGAGTTATGAAGCCTAGCCTACTCCTACATGTGTATTGTCAGACTGTAGGAGCACATATGCACAAAGACCTTAGAGTGACACATTTCAACCCATTTGTTGAGATTATTTTATGGTGTCCAATCTAGTTAAATATCTTTGTATTTGTTTAGTTATTAATAAAATGTGTAATATGGGCCACAAATGTATATCAGCCTTTTAGCTTCTTTGTAACCCATAAGTTAGTCATCATCTCCTATAAAAGAAGGCTAACTTACGGGAAATCTAACGATTGAGGCTTTAGAGAATAGAGGCGTAGAGATGAAGAGATTAGGGTTTGTCGCTGCTCTCCTTCTCGAGGGAGAGCAGCGGCCATTATCACGGTATACCAGATTCGTTGAATATCTCATATCTTTCTATCTGCTTCTTCTTCTTTATCTGCTATGATTGTGTGATTGTTAGTATATTGGGTCTATCAATTGGTATCAGAGCCGAGGCGTGAAACAAGTTGAATCTATCTGCGTTTTTTTTTATCTAACAAAGAACTGCTCTGTTTTTCTTCTCTTTTTCTTCAATATAGAGTTTTGCTCCTATAATCTTGTTTGTGAATGAAAATCTGTAAAAATTATACTGTTGGAATCGCCTCTTCAAAACGATTCTACAGCATATCTTTGTTTTCGATTTCTGCAAATTTTCAATTTCGAAGAACTCAACATGAAATCTCGAGTTTATGCTTTTACATGGCTGCAGAAACGATTTTGACTTGAAACAGATACAGGAGGAATCTTGACCTTCAGGGCTATTCGGAACAGTTCAGATTTTCAAAATTTGAAGTTTTCATTTTGCAGGAACTCGACATTTAGGGTCTCGAATTCCTAAACACGACATTTTGAAATTTCGAGTTTTGAAATTTCGAGTTTTGAAATTTCGAGTTTTGAAATTCGAGTTTTGAAATTTCGAGTTTTGAAATTTCGAGTTTTGAAATTTCGAGTTTTGAAACTTCGAGTTTTGAAATTTCGAGTTTTGAAATTTCGAGTTTTGAAATTTCGAGTTTTGAAATTTCGAGTTTTGAAATTTCGAGTTTTGAAATTTTGAGTTTTGAAATTTTGAGGTTTTGAAATTTCGAGTTTTGAAATTTCGAGTTTTGAAACTTTGAGTTTTGAAATTTCGAGTTTTGGAATTTCGAGTTTTGGAATTTTGAGTTTTGGGAACTCGATGTTTAGGATTTCGACATTCTGAAAGATTTCGAGTTTTTTGGAATTTCTCGATGTTTTGAATATTTCAAAGTTTGCAGTTTCTTGAAACTCAGAATTGTTCGAAACTTGACATTCTTCGCAGTTCATCGAATCTTTACATTATAGGATATCTGAATGAATCTCTGCTTATCAAAGTTTTTAGAAGTTTTCGATGTTCTGATGTTTTTCGAACAACAAGTTTTCGATATTATGAGGTTTTCGAAACTCCAAAGTTTTCGATGTTCCAAACAACTTGAAATTCTGAAGATATTGCAGGTGGATTTCGCCATTATTCTTCGAGGCCAAATCGAGATTACAATCTCGAGGTTTTAACTCGAGATTAGGATTTCGAGGTATTGCCTTAGAATTTCCCTTAATCTCACCTGTTCTCGATATTCAACATCGAGAACCTCAACTTCGAAGAAATTCCTCAAACACTCAAAATTTCAAGATTTTCTGCGACATCGCACTATTTTGGCCATAACTTTTGACTCGGTGATCCGATTTAAGCGAACTTTTTTTGTTGGAAAGCTAACGAAAAGATCTACATGAGTTCTAGTGGTTTACCCTAGAACCGTTTTTAACCCTAGAACCGTATTTCACGCGCCCTCACGCGTAGTCCTTGAGGATCAAAATGTTCGTTTTCCGACAAACTTTGTAAATCACCGATGTCAAGGTCAAAACTCAGGCAAATCTGATCAAATTATTTCAAAGTCAAGCCCAAGGTCAAAGATTTTCTAATCGTAGATAATTCAATCAACCTCGCATCAACGGTCATCTTACAACAATCAACAATCAACTACTAAAGCCTCCCCTAACTCATCAACATTGTGTGATCCTCAAACGTGTTGAAATTCCAAATGATGAGCCTAAGGGAAACCGTCATGTGTGGTACCTGTTCAGATTGCTCCACACACATCACGGGTATGACAAGCTATGAGCAATCAAACCTTGCACATTCTAAGGGGGAGTTTCAATTTTCTCCTGCTGGCGCCTTACACCGACAAAGCAAGGAATCTCTCAAAGGATGCAACATTTTAGGGGGAGTGTTCAATGTTATCCTCCCCAATGCCTAACAATGACAAAGCATACCGAGTGCTTCAGATGAGGGGGAGTACAGAGAGAAAATCAAGAAAGTAATGAGAGAACATGTCCCTATGGCTTAGTAAACTCAACTAAGCCCACCCAAGGGACAAAGTCGAGCGTAAGTGAGTGAGTGAGCGAGTGAGTGAACATTATGAGCATTAGGAAGCAAAAGGCTCAAGTGAGCAAGGAAACAATAATCAATGATAAGTCTGCTACCTCAACTGCCTCCTATCAATTGAACATTTGCTCCTAGCCACTCAAATACTCTGGACAATCCCCATAGGTTCATGACTGGTTTAATGAGATCCTGGGTAGAAGTCAATGCGTCTTGTCCAACAGTGCATGCTTAATCCTACCCAAGACCACTCACTTGTCTCCCAACAGACAGGTGTTTAATCATATTTCACGGGGAACCGCGTCTCTAATTACTGTCTCCTTCCGAGGCAAGTTATACTAACTACAGTGACCTCAGCCCCATGCCACTGAACTTTCATTGATCACGTTGTGTCTAGTAACATCACTCCCAAATGTTTTGAAATTTCTAGGACACAAATGCAATTTTAGAGTCAGTTGCAGATCTTCATGACCCGCGAGAACTTCCATATGGATCATCTATTACAGATGTAGACCAATGATTGGAAGGAAGTCCTGTTGTTGCAACATAAGAATCACTAACATTTTTAGGCCATTGCTTTAGAGTTTATTTCTATAGTGATGATAACGAGTGTCTACATGACCTCGAGGGGCTACAAGTTCTTAATGCTAATCTTTATGATTTTACCATAACAACCAGAGTGACATCTATTCGGATGCTTCACAATGACTGGTTGGAAGTCATGTTAAAGCTGTAATGCTTCTATCATTTTATACAGGCCACACATCAGTGTTTACATTGATGATTGTGATAACGGAACACCATGGTGTCTCCGGTGTTTACTTTTCTGTTTGTTTTTCTGTTTCTTTTCTATTCGTGCAAAAGAATAAAGGCATGATGCCCCGAGTCATCGGATCGTCATGAGGGGGAGAGTGGCCACATGCTGTTAACTGTCAACAAATCATTATGGGACACTTCTCTCCTCCAACACTCTCTCTACTATCTCCGCAACTCAAATGGTCAGCTACGCTCACAAGACAACCATCATTACGTTCTGCTGAGCCACCGACAAGTTCTCCTCAAATGCATTCATTCCAAATAGTCAAAAAGACTACATTTTGGAGGAGACATATGTCAAATACTCGTGTACTTAAGATGAATCCCGTGCGCCGCTGATAATCATCAGAAAACTCATTCTAGAGGCGTCACCGGACTTCATCCAAGCTGATCAAGAGTAACTTCTAGAAGGCAAGGATTACAAGAAAAAGATTCCTTAAACCCCGACATCAAAGATCAAATTGCCAGGAAAACATCAAAGGGGAGATTGCGAGGATTTCTTCATAAAGCCTTCTCAAGAAGTCAAGTTCAAAGACAAAGGAAGCTCAATAACAAGGAAGACAAAGATATATGTGTTGCAATGCTGATTCAACATGATTGAACACCAAGGGGGAGATTGTTGAGAATATTTTATGGTGTCCAATCTAGTTAAATATCTTTGTATTTGTGTAGTTATTAATTAAATGTGTAATATGGGCCACAAATGTATATCAGCCTGTTTGCTTCTTTGTAACCCATAAGTTAGCCATCCTCTCCTATAAAAGAAAGCTAACTTACGGGAAACCTAACGATTGAGGCTTTAGAGAATAGAGGCGTAGAGATAGAGAGATTAGGGTTTGCCGCTGCTCTCCTTCTCGAGGAAGAGCAGCGGCCATTATCACAGTATACCAGATTCGTTGAATATCTCATATCTTTTTATCTGCTTCTTCTTCTTTATCTGCTGTGATTGTGTGATTGTCAGTATATTGGGTCTATCACCATTGTTTCCCGTGTTTAATTGATATGCTGATTGTTTAAAATCTTATTCGTTTACTATTTAATACCCAATTTATTTTAATATCTCTTTTCAACACTTGGGAGTAGGAAGAAAAAAACTAAAAAACTAATAACACTTAAAATTCACGCTTCATTTTTACTGAAGGTTCAAAAGTCAAACCTTCTCATCACTTTGAGGAGAGTAATCTTTCAAGTGAGCCCTTAATTCTTCATGCATTATTTCTTCACTCACTTCTTTACCAAGGTCATCATTCACATTTGCAACCATTATATTCTGCATCATCGCATCTGAGAAATCTTTCTCCTGTCTTAATGTATTTAAGTTTGATCCATCCCATTTGGCATCAGTCGAGGCCAATTCACTTCGGATCGGGAGCTTCACTGTATGCTTTTCACTTCCAAGGATCTCCACTTGACTACAACATTTTTCATTGATGACATCTAGAGCAAAAAAGGGAACAATAAACATAATAGTGCAAACACAACCAAAATGGTACATATGGATGTTGATTAAATGCCAAAAAATAGGAGGAATTGAAAAGAATTAAAGGATAAAGTGAATCTGGATTCACCATTTTGAGGATCAAAGTACAAAACACATGGGGAAGAATCTCGCAGATAACTGATTTCATCTGGAATATTAGAAAATTAATCAGATAAATGAAGCTAAAGATAAGGTCATGGTCATGCAGAATGCCAATTTGAAGACTTCCCATAAGATCATCAAATTCACAACTAAGGACAACTTAGAAAAAAGAAGAACTATGAATAAAAGACTACAACATTTTTCATTGATGACATCTATAGCAAAAAAGGGAACAAATAAATATAATAGTGCAAACACAACCAAAATGGTACATATGCACGTTGATTAAATGCCAAAAAATAGGAGGAATTGAAAGGAATTAAAGGATAAAGTGAATCTGGATTCACCATTTTGAGGATCAAAGTACAAAACACATGGGGAAGAATCTCGCAGATAACTGATTTCATCTAAAATGTTAGAAATTTAATCAGATAAATGAAGCTAAAGATAAGGTCATGATCATGCAGAATGCCAATTTGAAGACTTCCCATAAGATCATCAAATTCACAATTAAGGACAACTTAGGAAAAAGAAGAACTATGAATAGAAGACTACAAAATTTTTCATTGATGACATCTATAGCAAAAAAAGGAACAAATAAACATAATAGTGCAAACACAACCAAAATGGTACATATGGATATTGATTAAATGCCAAAAAAAATAGGAGGAATTGAAAGGAATTAAAGGATAAAGTGAATCTGGATTCACCATTTTGAGGATCAAAGTACAAAACACATGGGGAAGAATCTCACAGATAACTGATTTCATCTGGAATGTTAGGAAATTAATCAGATAAATGAAGCTAAAGATAAGGTCATGACCATGCAGAATGCCAATTTGAAGATTTCCCATAAGATCATCAAATTCACAACTACGGACAACTTAGAAAAAAGAAGAACTATGAATAGAAGACGTATAATACATAGATGAAAGTTCAAACCTTCATTGTATTTACAATCCCAGATGGAAAAGTCCAGGTCCGCAAAAAAATCCATCCTAACCATTTCCATCACCATAAAACATGATCTTTTATCAATTTCTAGATAAAAATGATAGTAAACATACCAATATACAAAGAAATTGTGAAAAAGAACATGATAATATAATATTTTATTGTATAGTACAAGAACTGATATCTCTAGTCGGGTGTAACCATATAACTTAAAAATCCAAAGGGTGTTATCTCATCCACCCAATAATTTCTTTCTACACACTATGGTTAAAAAACATCTAGAAGTTAAATACATGAATCTATCACATATGTCTCATCACGTGTTATTTACCATGAACTCACTTAATGACCTATTCGATGAGAAAAGCAAGAAATCTAAAAGTTCTAAAATTTTATTTAATTTTTTCAGTAAGTGTTAATTTCAGAAGCCTCTTTATTTATCTTTATTTCTTTATGTATGTTGACATGACACACCAAGAACTCCTTGGATTTACTTCCATCTTTATTCTAAAACTTCCAAGGAAACATATTTAATAGTAAACCCATAACACTAACTGTTGGCAATGAGTCAGAATTCTAAATGACCTATCCAACATGGTCATACTTTTATAACATGGAAAAGGTGAAAGCATTCCAAATCAAGAAGATGTAGAACTCATTCTAGAATTTTGAAGAAACAAAATGCATTTTTAGTTTCATAATGCAACTCGGTCCTCTTAAACCTACATCTCAATGGTGGAAATCAATTGATACATTGAAGAATTGCTTCTGTTGAATTCTCAATATTGTTACCAATGAACTACCCTTCCTTTGATGTGAGACAAATGCCTATATGGAAAAACATTACACTTGAATCCAAAAATGGTAATGCACCGAGAATCCAAAACGGCTAAAAAATATCACCCACATACCTGGACTTCTCACGATTCGCAACCATGTATGCAATCATAACATTCACCCACGAAGTAATTTAAGAATTTAATGTTTAAATAAAATTTGAGAATATACGAATCTAGTTTATACAAAATTGTATGGTAAATCGAAAGAACAACAAAAACGACTCAAATGTTTACTGTTTAAAATGAGAAATCACTGGATTTCATAGTTTAAAAGCACATTGATGAACTACATTCAACATAAAGACTTGATGGTGTTGTCAAAATCCGTAAACAAGTATTTATAGAATACATCACCTCTTCTAAAATCCATAACGATAAATATCAAATAGTTAACGGAGAGACGCGATTTTCACCAAAACTAATTTAACAATTTGAACTACTTCAGATTTAGAGTCATATCTATAATTAATAGCATACATGAGTGTCTATACATTTGAGGAAATCTTTCCGTTCTAGAAATTTCCTGTTCAAGAAATAGAGTATGTGTTAAAGCTACCACGGAAAGTAGATCTTGTGGTGGGTTATGTGACTAAGTGTTCTATGAAGTATGAATCACACTTATTGAAATTCCTCTAAGCACAACTAATGTACCACATTTAAGATATACCGATGAGTAAGTATGACGCAAAGGCAGCTTTTCGGCGTGTTGACGGCAGATTTCCGGTGTGTCTTCTCACTAATTCAATGAGGACAAGTGAGATAAGGTCTCTTTGAGTGCACCTTGGCTCATTCTGTAAAAAAGACCTAATACTCGTATTTTCGTATATATAGTGTTTTTGCGATGCTCAATTCAATGCATAGCATTACTGGTTTCAGCTCTATATAGTCAATCGTGATGTTTCAGATTTATTATTAGATTACACGTATTAAGTATTGGATGTCCAAAATATTGAAATAGTAGAATAGGTCAATGGAAATAAATCGACTAATTTGTTTTAAAATAGAATGCTCTTTAATGTTGTATTGATCTCAAACAATGAGACTGGTATATATTGTTTATCCTTGAAAGGACACTTTGGTTATGTTTAATAATTTTATTTTTATTTTGGAAGAAAGTGGCTTATATTGATATCACAACATTGAGATAGGGAACAAACAGATAAAAGGACCACGCCCAACCGCCAGTCCTCGAACTAGACTTAGAGTCAATCACCTTCCAGAAAGCAATATGACACCCACGTTGATCCTATAATGGGTATAAATGAGCCAAAGATGGTCAAACAGACCCCTCATCACCCAATTTTAATGCAAGAGTATGACAAAACGAGAATGAAAATAATTGTTAAACTTATGCTGCATCCCCAAAATCACGAGGATCTTCCACTGTGCTTTCCTTCCATAAAGCTTCTTTAGAACTCCTAGTGGGTCTGGTGTCCAGGACCCGCCTCCTCTCTGTTTTTTGGCTCATCCAGTGCCATGTCATCTTCACCGGTGTTCGTGAGGAGTGTACCGACCATCGGAAACACAGCCCAACGCTCGCATGCTTCTCCCCTGCCGTCGGCATTCTCTTCGAAACCAACTCCTCCTCATCCCACCAATAGCCATGTTATCGCACATATGTACGATGTCTTCCATCCGTTCCTACTCAGACTACCATGCTCGACTAAAGATGAATAACCCTTGGCCACGAAGTATCGCCCGCAGTTGCCCAGACTCCTTGCCTCGCCGCTCTTCACCGAAGGAGACGAAGCGGAAAACTCAAAACCCTAACCTAGAGGGAGGCGACCGCTTTTTGTATATACATGTTGTTTAATTCTCCAAATTAAATTTTCCAAATAATTTTATTTTTATTATTAATACTATTAAATTTAAATTTAGTATATTAAATATCTACTTTTATTTATTCTTTATATGTTTTCATTTTTTATTAATATGGGCTAACTTGTTAATGAACACATAAAGTTAACTATATCTAATGGACATGTGTATTGCATTGTTCTCCGATCTTGCTGAGGGTTAGGTCACCAAGGCTCATGTCAAGCGTCACCACAGCTTCTTGTCTCAGCGTAAGGACATACATAGGTTATAGCCTAAGTTGAATCCTTGGAAGTTTAGGAGTATGTGCCCATGTGCTCCATTATGAATTCCAAACTCGGTGACATGGGAATGAGGCCATAGGGAGTAGACTTTTGCTCATGACCTTATTGAGTCAAGGTTGAGTTTCAAGGAGATGTGGTATTATTTTGTTCCAAGTGTTTAATTGCAAGATTAGATTGTTCATGGTCATGCTTTATTAGAAAATCTTTTCAATTTGGTGTTTTGGGTTTGCATTGTTGGTGGAGGCATCAAATCTCTCATTCTCTCATTCCCCCCACTCCTTGAGGTGGGTGAAGATGGAACGAAAAGAGGTAGAACAATTTCCATTGCTGGGAATGTGACTTTCCTAAAGCAATACTTAAACCTATTTCTTCTTGGTTGCCACTAGCCGCCCATGTCATGATGTATAGGTGACTTCACTCATTAAAACCTAGTTAAGGAAACTTACTATGGGGGGAAACTTAGTTTTATGAAAAGAGTGCACATAATAGCAGTAATCGAGACTGATTAGAGGCTTCATAGATTCCCACTTGAGGTATTACCTTACCTGCAAGGCTACAACTATTACCACTTTAGAGAGTTGATAAGATCGCCATTATAGTACTTCAAAGTGATGAAGCCGAGTATTGCTACAAGGTAAGGTCAAGTCCATCTCCACAAGATGAGGTCAAGGCCCACGACTATAAAATGTGGCCGAGTCTATCTGCACATGGTGATGGTGAGTTAACTACAATATGAGATTAAGACTATATACAAGATGAGGTTGAGACGCCCTCCCCCACCCACTACGAGATCGGTTGAGTTTATCTCCAGAAGGCAAAGTTGAATCCTTCTCTAAGAAGAGGCGAAGTCAAGCATCTACAAGATAAAGCAAAGATGCAAATAATGCAAATGGTTAAGCTTGGACATCAAGCAAATCATGTCTAGGTTCAATCCTCAGTGGCAACAACTACTATTTATTAGTGATATGACTAAGGTTGGTCTTTAAGCAAACCTATCCAGGATTCAACCACTAGGTGCAACGACCACCATTTGTTAAAGGAAATGATATGTCTCATTTGAGTGATACCTTTCTGATCTGACCTCTTCCTTGCTGAATTTTCTCCACTCATTGATTGATTATTGTTGCTTATGTGTCATTGTTCTTCAAAATGGTCAACTTCATCTTCATTTCCTGTCCTTATTTTATCTAGACGTTTTTTTCTTTACGATTTGACTATGATGGTAGTCTAGATTTCTAACTATCTTCATCATCAATTTCCATCTAAGCTTTATATATACTACCTTTAGTATCTACTCAGCTCCTTCACCTACCATACTCATGTTAATGATACTTGAGATCTCTTTGATGAGACCGAAGGTAGTAAAGTGGAATTGAACATCTAAGATTTAGTCATCCACGTTAGATTCTCCCCATCGGGTCTATTCCCCGAAACAATAGCCAACTCTAATCATGTAAATAACATGAGTCGATTCATACCAAAGACCCAATTGAACTTGAAGCAATGCATTTGCTATTTAAATGTTGTTCCTTGCCTGAAGAGGAGTACGATCGAGGCAATCCGTGTCTCCTCTTCAGGACTGAGTGCAGATACAATCTATCCAGTATCCACAAGGTTCATAAAATGGGATGGAAGTTCTTACAACTTGGTTTCGACGCCCACATGAGAGTTCTTGAGCTTAACCTTGAGTTCTACTTCATCGCATTCTTAGAGATACATGGACTTTCTTCCTTTTCAAATGGACGTCAATGGGCGCTATTAGATAGATGCCTTTTCTTTTTCATTGGCTTGATTGTAAGATCAACCATACAACTCTTCTTTTATGCTCTCTTTTTCATTTGGAAGAGTCTCCCAAAGAGTAAATATGGTATGTGAACCCTTCGCAATTACCTATGTTCTCAATCTCTTTTCTCATGTTCCGTCACCCCACTATGAGTGGAAGTTCAAATTTGTTTATGTCTCACTCATAATGAGTACAAACTACTTGACTTGCTAACATTTAAGAAAAAATTAGAGCTAGTCACTTCGATATTAAAAAAGGTTTCCAACGATTGCAGCCTCTATGATTGGGTATGTAGGGATGGAGATGTAGATGACTATCCCTAAACAACGTCAAACCTAACTCGTGTTTAAGGTAAAATTCTTAGGTTGGGGATCAGTTTATGTTTTCCTGACGTTGTGTATTTATGTTTTAAGATTTGCCTTATGTGTGTAAAGACTTCATTTTGTAGAAGAACGGAACATACTAATTTGATTCAATGTGCCACACTCTCCTCATTGAAAACATCAAATGATACGTTAATGGAAACCTAGGTTTAAAGATTTAAAAACAAAGCTAGAGAGAAAATCACAACACAAGATACTTATAGTCGTACACACTATATTAATAGCCATCCATGGTACCACTAGGCCCCTTGCATGTCCAAAGCGTGTCTAGGCACCTTGTTTGAACAACACATGTACTATCTATCAAGACGAATGACACATTGCATATCCTCCATCCTCATGAGTCATGACATATATGAGTCATAGTATAAGTCTGTTAATTGCAAGTTTAGAGATTCACACTCATATACTCTATTTGCCATAAATATGTTACTCACGAAGTACATATTATTATTGGAAATAATATAGTACCTTCACTCGCCATCATGTACTACTATTAAGAGGAATGACTATAAAAACTATCCCATATAATCTTGTTTAGAAAATAACTCAGCTAAGCTTGAAGTTATACAAAAAAAGGACACGCGTCATCAAAGTCGCTTCTATCTTTGCAGGAAGAGGTGACAAACCAAATAGTAACAATTTTCATCATCCCTCACACTAAACCGAAGCATTCAATGTGAGACGGTAGATGATGAATACTTGAGAATAACATTTGGTGGAAACATGTATTGATGTATGCCCAAAAGACAGAACCATTCACACTACTCCTTTTGGTATGCCCTTAATTTTGCTTTCTCATCAACTGATCGAATCATAAAGGTGTTATTTTTTCAATCTAAAAATTACTCCCAAGATCTGTATTATATACTCCATCTTAATGTTTATAGACAGACATAAACATATGAGATTAACTTCAAACCCAGGGAGCAGTCTACAATTCTATATCAAAGCAAGCAAAGTGTACAATTAAGTGCATGTATGTGATGTTCAAACCTTTGATTTCATCCAAAATGTTTACCCAGAAGGGTGGTTAACTTCCAATATCAAATAGTCCAATTATACTTCAAAATTTGCTTCATACACATGATGTTTCAAAAGCCTGTACGTATACACTCACAATGTCGACGAAGCAGCAGACCCCAGAACAGTACAGCTTCATTTCTCAAGCCTGGTCAGGACCACCGGGCAGCGGATCATAGCCATCATGGAATTTGACAGTCTCTTGTTTGACGGGGATCAACTTCAAGCCTAAGGAAATGATCACGCTTATTTCTCCGATCAAGATGCTGAGTAGCCAAAGTTGCCAGTTCAAAGGTACAGTGCCGGCAAACGCGCCCAAGAACTCGACAATGATGACTTGGAATGCTGCGGTGGAGAGTATGACACCTAAAAATATCCAGCTACTAAATATGCCACGCAGTACATTCAACTTCTCCATGTCACGGCTGTTTACTTCATTGAAGAGCTGGGAAACATTTATTAAAGTTTCATAAAACATGAAGACGGCTTAAATGAAATGAAATGAAATGGTACAAATCCTCTTTTTTTATACAACTTTTTATGTTCATTTAAAAAAGACATTTACCCTATTAGCCAACTAGGCTCTATGTAAAAGGGTATCAAATAAAAGTGGGTGAAAATAAAAAGACTGCACGGGAGAACTACCTGACAGAATACAAAGGTATTGAATATGAAAGTATTGAGAACAGCCTTGGCATCTGAACCTTCAAGCCTCAAAAGCTTAATTCCAACAAAATTGAAGACTAAAAGAACAGATAGCTGATAAATACTTTGACCAATGATATTCCTCCACATGGCCTTTGTAATGAAACTCACATCCCTCCCTACTGGAGGCCTATTCATTAGTCCCTCATGGGGTGGTTCAGTGGCCAATGCAAGCGCACCTAACGTGTCCATTATCAAGTTCACCCAAAGCAATTGCACAGCAGTAAGAGGGGCAGATCCTGATTATCATCTTTTTAAAATTAATACTAATTGACAAATAATATTAGCTTAACTAATAATAAGTCAAATGCAGGAGAGCTGTTTGGAGACCATAATACCTGAGATGCATGCAGAAGTGAAATTGATAATGAGAGCAACAACATTGACCGTTAGCTGGAATTGCACAAACTTTTGGATGTTTATGTATACGGAACGCCCCCACTTAGCCACATTGACAATGGTTGTAAAATTGTCGTCCATGACAATCACATCAGCGCTTTCTTTTGCCACCTAAGGATATTTGTTATCAAAAGATTGATTTTGTAAATGATCTGCACAAGTCCTAAAACAAGCAGTCTTTAAATAAATAAAGAGGAGATATTTTGAAACATGTATACACCTCAGTTCCAGCAATGCCCATAGCAAGTCCAATGTCAGCCTCGTGTAAGGCAGGGGCATCATTGGAACCATCACCAGTAACGGCAACCACTTCTCTAAACATGCCTCTTAAGTTCTTCACGAGCACGTGTTTATCGAGTGGAGATGACCTAGCCATGACCTGCACCAAAAGTATATATAAAACATAGCAACAATATACTTATGCAATTTATAACTACCTATATTTAAAGAAAGCAGTAGGATGCAAGAATCTGTCTGTGGTTCACCTGAATTTTGGGTATTAATTGTCTCATTTCATCAGGAGTCTTGAGGCGAAATTCTGGTCCTTCAATGGCAAAGCCATCTTCAGTCAATATACCACATTCCTCAGCAATGGCTTTGGCTGTGTTGATATTATCACCTGTGACCATCCTCACTGTAATCCCAGCTGCCAAACAGGCCTTTACTGCATCTTTTACCCCCGGGCGAACTGGATCTTTTATTCCTACCACCGCTATTAAAGTATAGCCACTATCAGGAATGTTACTGCTTTGAGGACTATCTTCTTCAATGTCTTTAAAGGCCAAGCAAATAGTACGCAGAGCTTCACTAGCGAATTCATTGATGACACAAGTAATATTCCCCACCTGTTCTTCAGACAAAGAAACAACTTCACCATTTCCATCAACGACCCTATCACACGTTCTCAATATAATCTCAGATGCACCTTTGCAAAACGCTCGGGTTTTGCCATCTGGAAGAGCCACGACAACAGACATCTTTTTCTTTTCGGAATTAAAAGGTTCAACTTTCAACAACTTGCAGTCCCTTCGTTGACTTTCTAAATCTCCCCCAAGAAGCAAACCGTATTCAACTATGGCTGATTCTGTTGGTGAACCCAAAATTGACATTTTTCCATCCTTACCCATGACCACCTCAGCAGCTGTATTGTGAAAAATCGCCTGCAGAATAACGGTTAATACGTTTTCTGGAATATCTGAACTTATCGTGTTGCCACCAAAAGTTTCAATTGTTTTAGCTTTTCCACAAAACCATGTTTTGGTGACCACCATATGGTTGGTCGTTAGCGTCCCAGTTTTATCAGTGCAAATGCAAGTTGCAGAACCCATAGTCTCGCACGCAGAAAGATGCCTCACCAGTGCCTTGTTGTCCATTAGCTGTTTCATAGCAAATGCAAGACTAAGTGTCACTGCCAGAGGTAATCCTTCTGGAACAGCAACAACTATTATAGTCACAGCAGTGGCAAAGTGATTTAGGAGTGTAAGGGCATCAGCTGAGGACCAAATGGTAAATTCATGTCTAAGTGCTTTCTCCACAAGAAACCTGATAACCAAAACCAAAAACGTTATTACAGCAACTCCCAATCCTATTTTCCCAATAAGTGTGGCCACACCGTTCAGCTTTACCTGCAGTGGAGTCTCATCTTCCCCACCCTCACTAAGAGTTTCCATCAGCTTACCCCATTCGGTTCTCATGCCAACAGTGGTCACTAGCATCTTAGCCGAACCATCCTGCACTTTGGTTCCTGATAAGAGAAACGGCCTTTTCTCAGATATACTCACTGGCACACTCTCCCCAGACAAGCTTGATTGATCAATCAGCAAGCTGTATCCCGATATGAATACTCCATCAGCTGGAACCACATCCCCGATGGATAAATGAACAACATCTCCGACAATCAAGTCATAAATGGAAACCTTCTGCCTGTATCCATCTCTGGTGACTTGGATGAAAACCTTCTTCTTCTCCTTATCCAAATCTCGGAACTGTAATGACTGTCGGTAATCACTAATGGCTGTGACAAAGACTACAAGGAATATACTAAGTATAATTCCTAAACCATCGTAAGTTCCTTTTGGCCAACCTTCAGTAGCTAGTCCCACTCCAATAGAGACAACAGCACACACAATAAGAATGATGAGTGTCAAGTCATGCAAGGCCTCCCAAACAAATGTCCAAAACCTTCTAGATGGTTTCTCGGTGTATTTGTTGGATCCATAGACATTTTGCCTTGCAGGGACCTCACTGGTTTTGACTCCTTCACTCAAAGAGACTCGCAACCTAGCAGCAAGCCCTTCAACTTTTCCAATGTTCCTTAATGTCGTGATATCGTATGAACCAACAATAGTTGCAAGTTTATCAGGGTGAAATCTGAAGCCTGCCTTTTGTGCCTCTTCTGGCAAACCGATATCATATTCATCCACAATATCTCCAACGGGAGGATGAGCTCCAGCTATCCTCTCCTTTGGAGGCTTATAGTCAACAGCTGTGGAAATAGTGTATTAAAAATATTATACAGAAACAAATGGAGCATAGAGCAAAGACATTTAAAAAATGGTAAAAATAAACGTACCATCAAGAAATTTAAGCGCAGCCATGTATGCCATAAATCCAACCCGTATTTTTTCCTAGAAAACATGCAGTAAATAGAAACTGACATAAGTGGTAAACTAGAAAATTCAGTAATAATGGCTTCTATGAAGTGAAAACAAAACAACGAGTTGTCTTAAAATCTCACGTACTTCAGGATATGAATTGAAGATATGGAGATAGCATTACAATTTATAAGTACCATCTGGTAGGAACTGAATGTTTAAGTGGAATTGAATGTTTTTTATGAACCAGGTGATTACTCTAACTTTATTAAATGAGCTGTATGAACCACCCATTCAATGATGGCGTAAATTTAAACAGCTAGATTTTCCAATGTGTAGGATTGGGTGCAGAAAGTATAAATTTAAACTGGTCATATTACAAGTTTGTGCAAACAGATGATACGGGAGCACTATACTCGAAACTTTGTTTGGCCGAAATGCCACATTTCCATCATAGTTAATCCCAGCCTCTTAGGAATATACAAGGTTTACTTAACATCATTCTAAATTCTCTGTAAGAACTACAAAGCCCGCCTTTTGAATTACTTGAGCGTCTTCACCTTCCCAAAGGATGGAGGGGTCAAGGACCAGATGATAAAAGTTCTGTTCCTTAATAGTTCTGTTTTTTCTTTTCCTTGAGAGTAAGACAGTGTGTCTAATAAAACTTATATACATTGCTAAGCTAATTGAAAGTTAAAATGAAAGGAAGAGGCCATACAAGAAATTGAAATTTACTGTAAAACTAAACCAGACACTCAAGTGATAATTGAATGTTAAATTCATAACAAAAGGAAAAACAATAGTTTGTCTATCCATTTTCCCTATCTGTCTTCTAGTTATTTATTTATCCATCTCCATATGACCCAACTAGACAAGCATTAGTGATAACTTTCTACAGCAGTTCAACTGATTTAAACCCAGGTCACTAGTTTAAAATCAGGGCCACTGTCAACAACTTAGGGCCTTGGGATTATTCGGGCCAAGACTCCCGAGCACTCGCGTCATTAAAAAAGACATGCCTTACGGATCAAATCTTAGTTGAGTGGTGCATCTTGCTTCTGGCCTCTTAACTTAATTAGTTAACTGAGAGGTGTAACATGACCTGATGGAAATGGAATACTAGATTTAATTCTACTCTAGTGTGACAATGGAAAGGTTAGTGATTTAAAGAAGTAAAGATGCCTGGGCATTTTCCTAAAAAACACCCAAGATGGGGCCAACTTAACATAGACTAGATGACCAACAAAGAAAAAGAAATCCGGAGTACACTACTTTCCATAGAAGAAGGAAAAGGAAACCATTTGTTCTCTCAATCAATCTTTCCTATTTTACATAAATTTTTCCATTATCGTGCTATAGACATATGATTCATGTCAACTTCAGCAGATTTAGTACTTATGAAATTTAGGGATAGGGGAGTTTTTTGGACTCACTGCCAAGGGCCAACAGTTCTTCACTCTAAATATTAGAAGGTTAGGCATCTTTCTAAATTATTGTAATGAAAATCAATTATCTTAACCGGCTCAACCCCTCCAAGAACCTAAGAGCATCTACATTGGCTAGCCATATGCATTGTAGTTTTGCTTGCCACATCAGCTATTTCTGGCTAACTCGTTTTGCAGCAATGTGATACTCCAATGGTTAGCTATAATGCTTGCCTTGCCTCTTGAATAGGCCCCACAAATCAACCAACTTTAAAAGTATACAATTTTAATCAATTGATTTTTTAATACAAAAAAAATCTTATTTAGAAATAATTTTGAATTGAGAAAATTCAATGATATTTTTAAACCAATTAGATGGCATTTTCGAATTAAAACATGTCATTAATGTTTTTCAAAATGAGTAGTATTGCCATCTTCGCAATGTTAATGCCAAAAAATGGCATTCATTCTCATAAATAATCATTGTCATCAATCATTATTATAATGGGGATAATATGAAAAGGCATATTTTTAAGTTAAAAAAATATTAACCACACATAAATACTTCTTTCCAAGGTAGCAAAACATCCATTGTGAGAGCAGTGTATGGAACAAAAAGAATTACCAAAAACAACACTTAATTTAGAAAGGATGGAGTGTATTTAAGCACACGCATATTCAAGTACACTAGTATATACAACTACACATATATGGGGTGTTTGGAATTGATTCTGCTTGTACTTTTTTTTAAAAGAAAAAAGAACAATCATAATCAATTTTCCAAACGTTGGTCTCTTCCAGCTTCTAAAAAACTGCTTCTAAGAACATTTTGGAGCACCTAGAAATACTTCTCCACTTTCACCCAAACACTCCAATATTTGTTTCTACTTTCTATTCCTTGAAGGAGTAGAAGCAATTTTGAAAAGTAGATCCAAACATCTCTTATATACTCCACAATTTGTATTCTAGTGGGAAGTATTCATATGTAATAAATAAACTATGAAACAAAAGAAGAAAAAGTAAGAAATATAAGGACACAACTAGAGCCACTAGGAAAAAACAAGAAAAGATAAAAAAAATAGTACTACCTCCATCCCTTAATATTGTGACAAAATGGAGTGGTGCCATTATTTAGAAAAGTAAAATTATGTAATAGATATTAAATTGATAAATTGAAAATTAAGTAATAATAAATTGTAAACCATCCAAATTTCATCCAGATTTAGTAAGACGGACGAAAAAAGGCAAAATAAGATAAACATAGGGGACGAGGAGTATGAAAATGTAAAGTAAAAGTTGTCATAATGAAAGTACAACCCAATATATCAAGGAGGTAGGGACAGCAAATAAAAGAGGGGGGTATTCTGCACGACTTAATATTAGTGTTCGTGTTTTGAATTATGAGACATGACAAAGCAAGTTTGTGCAGAGGAGAGAGAATTAACTGGAACCACAAAGTTAATCTTTCTTTACTTATATTAGAAAGTGAAAAAGTTAGTGAAATAACCCAAAAAGGAAAGTTGGCAATTTTCACAATTTTCTTTGACAGGTATAAAGTTAATCTTTCTTTGACAATTTTCACGTTATTGATAGTAATTATATATATATATATATATATATATATATATATATATATAAATCTATTAAATCGCATAAAAACAAATCTATAATGATTAAAAATTGATATTTAAAATTAGAGATAAAATGAATAAAATAGTAAAACTAAAAACCACTTTTGAACGGGTACTGTACAAATACAATTATTTTATATTTCGTCTTCGCCTTAAATGCCCTTTTCCAGAGCTGAGGGGCCAAAATTTTATTAATATAAATATATAATGACTGAAACAAGATAAGAAAATGATGACTCCAGTTTACCGTACCCTCTCAGAGATAACTATCCATCTGGTTTTATTATTGAAATAGATGCTCTAACTATGAGTAGATTATGGAGACCGACACCATAAAAATGAACGGTGATGATGATATCATAATACTGACTGATTAAGAAAGTCTTTTATCATATAAATAAATCTCTTTAAATTTTTTGGACACGAGAAATAATATAGTAAGAACGTGTGATTAAGATTTGTGCAAAGGATAGAGAAATAACATGAATCACAAATTTATTGATTAAAAAAAACTCAAAGTTTTTTGGGACAGTCCAGAAAAATAAAAACTACAAAGTTATAAGGGATGGAGGAAGTAGTTGCAAACTTTTTTCTTTGACACCCCTGAAAGCTTTGCGAATTTAATTAAAACACTGAGACCTCATTTGATGACCCTGTTTTTCGGTTTATCAAACTTATCAGCCAACTTTTTCACCAAACACGTAATTTTTTATTTCACGCGCTGGATTATGTAATAATAAGAAAAAGTAATGATAGAGATACTTTTCTTGTTGTATTGGCTGAAATTAATGTAGAGAATCATTTTACCTATTTTTCATATAAATTTTTCTTTATATTATTAATAAAATATATTTTAAATATATTTTTTTCAAAAATCAGCAGAATCAGCCAATAAAGTCAGTTCAGCCAAAACTTCATAAATTTCAGTAGAATCAGACAATACAGCTAATTTAGGTATTACCAAACGGGCTCTAAATAATACTACCTTTGTCTCGAAAAGATTTGTCATTTTGACTTTTCTTGATTAATATTGAAAAATTATGGATATTAATTATTACATTTATATACTCCCTCCGTCCCTCAATAGTTTGTCAGGTTTGACCGGCACGGAAAATAATAAAGTAAAAACTGTGTGGTTGAAATATGTGCAGAGGAGAGAGAAATAACAGGAACCACACATTCATTGAGTAAAAGGGAAAGTGGCAAAATTTTTGGGACATCCAAAAAAGGAAAGATGTCAAAGTTATAAGGGACAGAGGGAGTATAATTTAAAAAATATATACTTTTATGAAAATATGTAGAATAAGAAACATTTTGATATAATTTTCATATTCAAAATAATTTTGTAATGAAAAATATCATTTGTTAAATTTGGTTGTCATTGACCAAGAAAACTCAATTTGATAAACTTTTTTGAGATGAAGGTAATATTTAAAAAATCCAAAATAATGATGTTTTTACTTGGACTGAAATTTTCTGGTCTGGTTTAATCTGGTCTGGTAAACGTTTGGTCTCTATTTACTTTATAACTCTCTAAGTCTAGTCTAGTGTGAGACTGAAAATAGTTCAAGTAAAAACATCCTAAAATATATATAGCTTTCCTTAAAGGCGAACTATCATTATTAATGCGGAAAATAATTTAAATATCTCAAACTTTAATGGGTGTGAGATAAGTACTCCAAACTTACATTTGTAATATATTTGAAATATTTTCTGGTTTGGTTTAACCTGGTCTGGTAAACGTTTGGTCTCTATGTACTTTATAAAATAACATTAATTTTATTCTTATTTAAGACAAAAAAAAATCATGATTTTTAGTTGCACTTTTTTTTACTCGAGGCTGGGAGAGCCTGGAATAATTTAGGGTGAAACTCACTCCATTAAGTTTCGAATCCGAGATCTCCTCGTAAGAGAGAGTGAGTCCACGATCCATTGGGCTGGACGGCCTGGACTGCTTCCTCTGATTTTTATTTGCACATGTCATTTAAAATAGACTGAATTTAAAAAAAAAAGTGAACATAGTAACTAATCCGCGCTAAAGAAAGGTCGATAGATCCAAAGATGCAGAAGACAGCCATTTTACTCACGACTAGTACGTAAGGAGCCAACATTATTAAAGTGAACTTTTATGCCCCACCTAGAAACGGGCAGAGACCCAGGTTTACGCAAGGTGATTAAAATCACGTTTTTTATACTTATAAATTAAGTATAATAGAGGATTTTGAAATCTTAAATCCAATAGTATATCATTAGATTTTACAAACCATATATTAATAATTATAAAAAAATAGTAAAACACAGTTAGAACTTCAAAATACCAAGTTTTAAACAAGATTTATAAATCACTTTTAAAATGTAAATCTAGCGAATCATAACAAGTAAACAAATGTAGAAGACATAAATAATTAAATAATACTCCCTCCTTATTTATAAGATTCATATGTTAGGTTATGTCACAAGATTTAAGAGAGAATAGTAGAAGCAATGAATAGTATATAAAAAGTAAGAGAGAAGGTGAAAAAGTAAGAAAGGGAGTATAAAAAGTAGAAAAGTAAAGGTAATTGAGTATTTTTAAAGAAAAACTTACCAAAAAGAGAAAGTGTAGGAACTTTTAAATACAACCCAAAAAAGTGTAAGGAACTTTTAAATAAGGAGGGAGTACAAGTATGCATACATTACTTTCACTACATATACTCCCTCCGTTTCTGAAACAAGTTCCACATTTGACTTCACACATATTAAGAAAATAAATTTAACTTTACTGTGGAATGCACTGTTTGGCACTGTTTGAACACTGTTTGACACTGTTTGACATTGTTTTGATGTAGATAATTTGTCAAATAAAGAAATGTTTGAAAGTGGAACTTAATTTTGAATCTGCCCGAAAAGGAAAGATGAAACTTGTTTCAGAAACGGAAGGAGTATTAGTGATCTTACTACTATTGGAATTATGTATCAAATTCTCATACGTAGTGGTTAATTTTACTAATTTCGAACCATTGTCACTAAAAATCATCATTACAATTTTATTAAGATTTTGTGCGATTCTAAACGATTTTATTACGACTTGAGTTTACGTTTCTAAACGATCCTATTTTGTATGATTTCATAAGTTTACGAGTTTACATGTAACAATTCAAATCGTTAGAGTAGAATCGTAAATTGTACGATTTTATGATTTAAATCAAGATTTTAAAGCCCTGGTTAGCAGTAGCATTTCGAATTTGGAGGTAATTTTCCCTGAAAATCCATTGCTCACGTGCATACCACTAAAACTATGCAAGAAATGGCAATAGAATATAAAATATCTCCTTGACAAATTTTCTAATTTCCCTCTTGGAAGGTGTGTAAATAGAGTATTCTTTCCTAACTTGAGATATTTTCTTTTGAATTGAAACTTGATGGTTTGATCTGATTTGGTCTGAACTGATCTGATAAATGTTTGGTCTAGTGTATTTTATAATTGTCTTAGTCTGATCTGATCTAGTCTGTTTAAGTCTCGTTTGATCTGATCCAATCTAATCTGCGATGAAAGCAATGAAAAGTAGTAAATATTCCGTAAATTTCTATCAATTTAATTATGGGTCTCCATTTCTTAAATATTAAATACAGCCATGTGCAAGCCCCCAAGTCTCCTGCGCTAGTCATGAATCATGAAAGAGATGAAAGAATAGAAATGAAAGCATGTGTTGTAGATTTGTAGGCATTTCAAAAAGTCAAAAGCCGAGTATGAGTAATAGAGAAGAAGAATCACAGCAAAAGTGTACATACCATACATACACCGGAAACATTAACGCCGAAATCATATGTGTTCCCATTTTCAGATATTTCTTTACAAACATTGTTTCTTTCGATTTAATTAAAAGGTTTTCCTTAAATATTATCCAAATATAACTAAAGGAGTACTGTAGTTACTATACATAGTCACTATGGTGGTAGAATTGAACAAAACAATGATCACTAAAGTTATTGTAGTAGTCACTGAGTCATATTTTTGTTCATTCTCTTTATTTCAGTCATATATTTGTCATTATTTCTATTAATACTAATGGAAACAAATGTTATTTCCGTATTTTAGTGTTTGTTACACTTTCTTTTTTAAATGTATTTAAAATTTTGCTTTGCTTTTCTATTTTGGTAAGTTTTTTCTTTAAAAATACTTAATATCCTACTCTTACATTTTCTACTTTTTATCTTATCTTTCATACTTTTCCATCACCTCTCTTAACCTACTTTTTTTACACTATTAGTTACCTCTACAATTTCACCATTAAATGGTGTCCCCAAATTTATTGTAGAGAACTTGGAATACGGAAGGAGTACAGGAAACATAAATAAGACCATATCAACGCGCTCACAACATGGCGTGACAGGGCGACTAGGTTCTCACATTTTGAAAAATGAGTGAATACTTCACCCTATCACACAATGACAGACACGTCCATAGTTTAATTGGATTTGTAATTTTTTTGTCTGAATTGATTTGTTTAAATCTGATTTGATCTAGCCTGAACTAGTTTGGTAGGTCCATCTCAGTGTATTTTATAACTGTTAAAATTTGGTCTAGTCTAAAATTATTTAAGCCTTACCTGAGCTATTCAGTCTAGAAGTGAAACCGATCCAAGTAAAAATAAATTTACTTCCAGATACATGGGCAACATTAGCTTTACGACAACATCAGCACTCCACCAGAAAATTGGTTAAAAGTGAATTCATAAAAACAAAATTAAAATTAATTAAGAAACAAATTTGTATATAAATCATGAAATCCGAACCTAAACGCGCCAGGCAACAGAGATTAGGGCCGCCCATTCCAGATCAATCAATGTAGTCAATTAAAACAGCCCATTTTCGTGGACATTGAACGGTCCTCCACCGACTATGGTAGATTGGATCCCCACGATGTTCAAAAAAAGGCACGTTTCAGTACTTTTGTGAAGGACAAAACGTTTTTTTACCTGAAAAGTGTGTTTGGTAGGAAAAAAAAAGTTTATAAAAAGTTGTCAAACTTATTTCGGGATGAGTTACAAGACGAGTTTTCTTGGACTTGTTCCAATTCTAGATCGAATTAAATCTAAAAACGTGGGTGTAATTGTGATTTGTTACATCACCCATGGTTTGAGATAATCAATTTGGCCTGGGGAACGTTACACCCATTTATCACCTTAACTTTTCAACCGATTATGGACCTATAGAACAAGACTCGACCTTAACTTTTTAACCGATAAGGGTTTGTGTAATATTTCTTGAACTTATTAGGGAGTGGTGGTGGAGTACTAGTATAATTCAGCATTTAGGCAAACAAGACTCGACATTCAGACTACAAATAAAATTCAGACTAGAAATGGGTCCAAATATAATATTAGGAGATTACGTGTCTAATAAATAGGTGTGATATTTATTTTCTTTTCTTTAATAAAACTTATTTTCTTTAAAAAAACAAAAAACAAGGTGTGATATTCATTCAATAAAAAAAATTGAATGAAGAAAAGTTTAAAATCAAATTTGGTTTTTCAAAAACTAGAACCCCTAAATTATTCAAACTTGAACTTTTAAACCATGAAAAGTGATTCTAAATTGGCGTCCGAACACACCGTAAACAAATAAAGGACGTGTTTGGCATGGATTAAGGCATAACGGATTATGTTAGCGGGTTGCCAATACGAATTCAGTTAGCGAATTTGACATTTTGACTAGCGGAATAAGTTGTCGGATCGTCAAAAAGAAGATGTTTGTTAATTTAGATGTTTGGCCATAAAATCATTGAAAGACGTCGTTATTAAAGGGCTAATTCAAAACTCTTTTATTTGAAACATTTTCATTTCAACATTTCTGTCCAAAAACGCTAGTGCCTAAGAGTTATTTACCACAATGCATTTCACTTGGTGAAAAAGCCTAAAATGTTCTAACCCGGGTGCTTTAAAACAGAAAAAGAAGTCGAAAGATCAAACTCTTTAGCCTAGAAAGTAGCAGAAAACTTTGGGGTTTAATGCCTAAAATAATGATTTTGCAATTTGCATAAATTTAGCAAATACTCCCTCCGTTCCATAAAATAAGTCTCATTTTCCTTTTTGGGCCGTCCCAAAAAATTGTTCTCATTTCCCTTTTTGGAAAGTTTTGTGTGGCTAACATTCATTTACTTTTTTCTTGCTCAAACACAACCATACATTTCCACTTTATTCTCACTTTCTTAAACTCCGATCCAAGTAAAAGTGAGACTAATTTTCCGGGACGGAGAGAGTACTAATATGCCACCTTTCAAAGTTTGGTTGGAGAGTTAGAGCCTAGAGGCTTGAAAAATATCTATATCGCACTACACGGTTAAAAAACTGAAAACTAACAATCTGCTCCGATTCAATATCTTGCTAAAATATGTCAAATAATACGGAATAAAATATGCATTAGATTTCTATAATGGCGGCCCTCCATCTCCAATCCATACACAGTTTCGGAGAAGAAACAAAAAGTCAAAATTGGGGAGCGATTGATCTAGTGATTTTCAATTCTGTAGAAAAAGGAGGCGAGTACTTACTCTGGTTTTCTCCATCATCTCTTTGGCCTCCAATCGTTTCTCGAAGTTGGGAGAGTAACGGAAGCGACGATGACGGTTTCGGACCACCGAGACGGCGTTTCTCCACCGCTTCTGGGCCTCCTCCGACGGATGCTTCGGCGGCAAATCGAAGTCCGGTAGTAGACTCTCCATTTCCTGAGTCGGTTTTAGTTGCACTGGAGGCGCGCGTACTGAATTGTACAGACCGTACCCAATAGGAGGAGAAGCGTAGAGATAACTTGGTCAAGAGGACGATACGTGCCAAATCGCCTTTGGATCTATTATACTAGGGTCTCACGTTTTTTCTTGGACTATTTTGAGTCTAACGCCAAACTAGACTTAAATAACGTGTACTTAAACAAATTAGTTTAGAATAGATCCGACCAAACCAGACTTGAACAAATCATAGCAGATCAGACCAATAAATTTCAATACAAGAAAAAACATTCTAAATAATACTCCCTCCGTCCCGAAATAATCGTCCTGTTTTGACCTTCACACACATTAAGAAAACAAAGTTGACTTCACACTGTAGCGACATTATTTGGCACTGTAGCGACACTGTTTGGCACTTTAGCGATACTTTTTGGCACTGTTTTGCAATGTTTGACACTGTTTTGTATAGATTTGTTTACCAAATAAGGAAAGAAGACAATTATTTCGGGACGGACCGAAAAGGAAAGTAGGGCAATTATTTCGAGACGGAGGGAGTATTATCATTTTAAGCGAAGTCTACGAGCTAATAGCCTAATATTAACAGGGGCGTAGTCAGGAGTAAGAGTTGGGTTGGCTTGTATAAAGAATTTTTATAAATAAATTTTTACACATTCATTTTTACATTAAAAATATAAGCAATTTTAAAATTTGGGCTGGGCCGGGGCCCGGTCGGCCACCCCTCCACCTCCGCCCCTGCTAATATATAACGAGTAATTCCACATTCGGAGTATAAAAATAAAAAATGTGACTTTTTAAGTCCTAGATGTAGTCACTATATTAGTAACTTAATTGTAATAATCTATATTAAACTTTTACACTTAAGTGACTATAAAATTATACTATAATACAGAGTAACTATTAATAATATTTTTATAAATGAGTTTCATTTCAGTAATATTTTTCAAAAATACTACGGGGTATTTTTTATACTTCAACGCTATCAAAACATTGACAAATAGCACGCAAATATTACTAGTTTCAATGGACAAATAATGCATCTGTCCCTTTTAATTTATAAATTAAACATCTTTCATTTTCATATTATAAATGCTTCCACATATAACTATATTATTGGTCAAAGTCTAATATCATTGATCGAAAAATTCAAAGATTGTTGGTTAAAAAAGGGACAAATGAAATGTAAGGTTGTTTTTAATTGCGAAAAAAAGGTGACTAAATGTTACCTGAATATACTAATACCCTCAATATAACTATCTAAACTTATTCCTAATTCCATATCTATTCTCTCAACTCTCCATCTTGATCAAGCTTCTCCCATAGGCACCAACCCTACGCAACAACAACCTTTGCAATGCCGCCGCCCACCCACTACATCAACACCTCGCTGTCGAAACCAACCATCCACCACATATACGCTTCTCCTTCGAAACTACACACCATCTTTGCTCTCACAACGTCCAACTTCCATCTCCCCACCCCTTCTCGCACAACGGTGACATGCTCCAAGTTTTGGTACAAGGCGACATTCCTTTACAATCTGTAACGATTTGACGATGATTTGAGACGACGTCAACCTATGTGATAGTAAATCAGTAACTATGGATGCAATCACTTTTGTGCTAAGCAGTTACGTAGTCACTATGACATTCAAGATAGTGATCATGTGGTCACTAATTGTGACGCTAGAAGTACTAATGACGACAGTGTTGTTGGTGGGGTGGTTGGGCAATATTGATTAATTATTAATTATAATTACATAGACGCACACACAAATAACACATTAAAACATAATTTTAGCAAGTAAACAATATGCATCCTATATAGATGAAATACATGTCACCGCCATTTTATTTTAACGTACTATATGGTACCCACAATGTACCATATCATGTGTGGATGGATCAATTAGAATATTACAATTGAAATTTTTAAACATAAAAAAAATTACATGTTGGGTAATGGTGGGTTATGGCCTTATGAGGAGGGGATATTACCCGTTGGGATGAGTACGACTATATACATTGTTGGAAAAATGTGTTAAAAATTGCATTAAAAGGTCATTTTGGGGCAATTATTTGAGTGGGGTCCACTTCCGATTTGGGTCGGGTTAAAGTGGTTTCGTATTGTCCTTGTTAAGGGCTACAATTCGATATATGGTACGCTCAAAACGGATAACGGGAGAATGAGAAATTGATTCTCGAAGTTCACTCGTTGAAATGGAAAAACTGGGAAAATGATGGGTTTCTAGTATGTTTTATCTCACACCGGAAAACTCAAGGGATTTTCACCCCCTTATAAAGGGAAGCCTCTTTTAAGGAGTTAATATTCCTAAAGCTAAAGGCTCTCTCTTACGCGCAGGGGGGTGCCGATCAAATCTCCGAGACGTTAATTTTTGTTTTCTTCCCGAAACGTTTATTTTTTCCCAGAAGTGTTCCGGACAGAAGGCCTCGACCAGAACCCCTCGAAGGGGTGTTCTGTTGGCTTCGGACAGAACCCCTCGAAGGAGTGTTCTGTTGGCCGGACAGAACCCCTCGAAGGGGTCTTCTGTCGCGCAATTCTACCGTTACGAAAGTTAATGCCCAACGTTCTTCTCTTTTAATGCTGCGTTAAATGGACAGTTTATGGACGATTCAGTGCCCAACGGACTGGTCATTGATGCCCAACGTTCAGGTCCATTAACACCCCATTTAACACACAACAAATCCTCCTATAAATAGCTGGCAGGTGGTTTGCAACAAGACACAACGCACAATACATTCCTCACGTTTTCTTGAGCTAAAAACACTTCCAACTACTCCCAAATTTCCCCAGTGTTCTGCTATTGTTCCACGAGCTCTGGCTAAAATCTGCTCCATCCTATTTTCTGTTTTCTTTTAGCTATTTTGTTTATTAATTAATTTTATTTAATTAATATTTCTTCGTTTTTTCCGAAACACAACCAACAATCTTAAAACGTATTCGGTGATTGTTCTACTCCGGTAAACAATCCTAAAACGTATTTTCCTTGGTTGTTGTACTGCGGTAAACAATCTAAAAACGTAGTTTGTCACTTCAGTGAACGAACTTATTTTTTGTGTTTTCGGAAAACGTTGAAAACGTTAAAATGGCTTCACAAGAAAATGGAAATGTTGGTGGTCAGAACGTGCCAAACGATAATCAATCTGAAAGTGGAGCACCGGTGAACAATGGTTCACAACGCGGTGCATCTACTTTGGACAACCAAGGGGCAATCCCTATGGTTACCGTGCCGAGCAACTCTGTGGAGAAACCCAAAAAATTTAACGGGTTAAACTTCAAGAGGTGGCAGCAAAAGATGCTATTTTACCTCACTACTCTCGGTCTTGCTAGATTCTTGATCGAAGATGCACCGGTAGCAACCGGGGGTGAGGTGGATGCGCAATCTTTCAACGCGGTTGAAGCTTGGAAGCATTCTGACTTCCTTTGCCGAAACTACGTGTTGAACGGACTGCATGATGCTTTGTACGACGTTTACAGCAAATTAGCTACGGCTAAGGAGCTATGGAATGCTTTGAACCACAAATATAAAAGCGAGGATGTCGGTGCAAAGAAATTTGTTGTTGATCGATTCCTTGATTTTAAAATGGTGGATTCGAAGACGGTTTTGAGTCAAGTTGAGGAAGTGCAAATGATCTTCAACGAAATTCGAGATGAAGAAATGACAGTTAGTGAGTCTTTCCAAGTGGCGTCAATTATACATTTATTGCCGCCGGCTTGGAAGGATTTCAAGAACTACCTTAAGCATAAGCGAAAGGAAATGAACTTGGAGCAATTGATCCTCCGTCTGCGAATTGAAGAGGATAACCGGAAGAACGATGGGAAACTCCCAATCGTTACCAGCGCCAAGGCAAATGTGGTGGAGCATGCAAAGGGATCCAAAACCAAAAATAATGGGAAGAGAAAGCTCGGTCCCAAGGGAGGCGTTTTCAAGACAAAGTTTAACGGAAAATGCTTCAATTGCAATAAAAACAGACACAAGTCCGCGGATTGCAAGACATCCAAGAAGAAGAGGGACTCTCAAGTCAACTTGGTGCAAGGTGGGCAAAAGGATGAAGACATCATCCTTGCGGCTATGGTGACCGAGGTCAACCTCGTTGGATCCAATTCCAAGGAGTGGTTCGTGGACACCGGTGCAACCCGACACATTTTCTCAAACCGGGAGTTATTCACTACTTTTGAGCCATCAAATGGTGAGAAGGTGTGGATGAGAAACTCGGCTCATTCCGCGGTTGAAGGCGTGGGCAAGGTGGTCCTGAAGATGACTTCGGACAAGGAGCTAACTCTCAACAATGTGTTGTACGTCCCGGAGATACGCAAAAACCTGATCTCGGGCTCGTTGTTGAACAAGCATGGCTTCCGCATGGTTTTTGAGTCGGACAAACTAGTTTTGTCTAAATCGGGAATGTATGTGGGCAAGGGATATGCAGTTGATGGGCTGTTTAAGCTCAATGTAATGACTATTATTATTAATAATAATAAAATACCTTCTGCTTGAGTCTTCCAATGTGTGGCATGGTAGACTATGACATGTTAATTTTAATTCTATACGTAGATTAATTAACATGGAGCACATTCCTAAATTCACAATTGATGTGAAGCACAAATGTGAAGTTTGTGTAGAGGCAAAACTAGCGAAAACGTCTTTCAAATCGGTTGAAAGAAAAAATGGAATCACTTGAATTAATTCATAGTGACATTTGTGATTTTAAATCAATACAAACACGTGGCGGTAATAAATATTTTATTACTTTTATCGATGATAGCACTCGCTATAGCTATGTTTATTTATTAAAAAATAAACACGAAACAATCGATAAATTCATTCTTTATAAGAATGAAGTGGAAAACCAACTTAATCGACAGATTAAAGCGGTTAGAAGTGATCGAGGTGGTGAGTATAAAGCACCAATTGGCGACTTTTGCGCGAGCGTGGGTATAGTACATGAACGTACTGCACCCTATTCACCTCAATCAAACGGTGTTGCCGAATGAAAGAATCACACATTGAAAGATATGATGAATGCGATGCTAGTAAGTTCGAGCCTGCCACAAAATATGTGGGGTGAAGCAGTCTTGTCAA